ATGCGGTGCTGTTCAGCCTGCTCTGGGTGACCCTGCTTCGGCAGGGGTTGGACTGGGTGACCCACAGAGGTCCCTTCTAACCCTGCTGTGCTGGGTCCTGTGGATAATCAGGACCTCAGCTGCAAGAGAAGCCCTCAAGTTGTAGGGGAAAGGCAAAAGGAACTTCACTCCTGAAATGGGACAGGCAAAGCATTACAGGCGGCTTCCTGCCTTTCTGCCTGCCTGCCTTTCCCTTCCTTCCTATTACCAGGCAGACGCTGCTGTGGGACGGCTGCAGTTTAGGGATCTGTCAGCGAGGAGGGAGCTTATGCTACGCTTTAGTCATAGTTCACCACGTACAAATTTCTGTGGAATTGTAGCAAAATTTTTGATGCTAAACAGCACTGTGTTAAAACCATTCGGTGTTAAAACCCAGCAAAATCTTGCAGCAAAACGGGGGTTCCAGGGTCTGGGTGGGCCTAGCTCCCCAGGCCAGGCTTCTATGAGGAGAAAGAAGAAACCTGGGAGTTTCTTAAAATAATCTGAGCGGGTTTGGTAACAGCTGGCTCAAAGTGATGCGCAAGCGAGTTTTCAACAACCTAATGAGAATGGTGTCACGTGATTAGTAACTATTTCTCATCGTTGATGAGCCAGTTTCCATGTGGCAATTTAAAGTAGGAATGCAGGCAGATGCTGCTGTTTCTTCCAAGTCTGAAGTTAGGGATTTTTTTTCCAGCCTGCTTGTCGCTAAGACTGTGCCAATGAGTGTAGGTTACATTCTTTTGTATTCTTACCCACAACTTCTCTACCAGTTGACCCCAAAAGACTTTTCCAGCCCTTTGCCTGGGACTGAGGCAGGACCATTGGTGAACCAAGCTCTGAATCATTCTGCTCGCTCCTTTGGCACCTTGGCATGCTTGCTGTCTTCCAGCCCTTCGGCATTTTTCTGGTACTGGAACCAGTATTAAAAATACAGCAAGTGAGCTAGAGACCTCCTCCTTTTCTTTCAGCAAGCTCATGTGCAAGTTAATCAGGCTGACTCAAGTTGCTTATCCCTGTTAGATGTTAATTGAACACCTGCTTTAGTTAGTGAGGAACAGCGAGCATGGTGCAGAGGTACCTCAAGTCAGCTCAGGTCCCGCAGAACTTCCTCGTGCTGGTTTTGCAATGCCACCTGGTATTGTACTTACTCCCTAGTATTTGTTACACCCAAGTTTTCCGTGAAGCAGAGCAACCCAACTCTCTGTTGTTAAAAGCTCATCCTGGCTCCATGGCAAGCAAAGAGCAGCAACTAATAATCCAACACAAACTGAAATAAGTAGAAATCGCTTCTGAGCTCATAGCTGTTGTGCAAACAGAAATCATAAACATCGATAACCTTCCAGGTTATGGTTCGTAACTCATCTTTGCGGTTAAATCTGGCTTTCTTCTGCCAGGAGTCCAGACATTGTAGGACAGCTGAGTAATCAAGCTGCGTCCTGCGTGGATGTCCTGTATACAGGACTTTAGGTTCTGTTCCTCTAGCAACAGTCTGCTTAATACTTGTGTTGTGGAGTAACTCCTGCTTCTTTTCGCCTTTCTGGCATTAAATTATCAGTTCACTTTTTCAGTTTCTAGTCTTTCCACTTCCTTTGTTGCTGACAAAGGAGTCTCTGTTTTCTTGGATGCTGTGTAGCACTAAATTGTGGTTCCAGCCCACGTCCTCCATCGGGGCCATCCGCTCTCACCACACTTCTCTGCACTAGCTGGAAGGAAAACGTGGCGCATCTGAGACAGGTGAAAGCATTTGTTCTGCCGTCATCCATAACAGTGTTCTTACGTGAACCAGACCCCATCATACTCTGGTGTCCATGCTGCCACCAAAATACCCTCTTTGCTCTTTTTACTCAGCTTAGATCTAGATCCATTCAAAGACTGGCAAGACCTGCAAGTTTCCCTTAGCTGAAAGGCTAGGGTGTTGTTGTTTCACGCAGATACCACCGCTTGCTTTTAGAGTGTGTAATTGTTTTTTCCATTTTGTTACTATCGATCACAAAACCCCTGTGCGGAGAGAAGTCTCTCCTCAGACGTGTCGTCGTTTTAGTCTCTCCAACTTGCTGTCCACCTTGGAGCATATCTCCAGGACTGGGCTCAGTCACAAGATTTTTGTATTACATATTTTTTGTTTTCCATTTTTGATTTCTGTAGATGAATATCTGCAATAAACCTCCTAATAAGACAGCTCCAGAGAACTTGGGTGAAGCTGTTGCTGAGGTGCAGGTCCAACGCGCTCGAAGGAATGGCTGGAGCTGGCCCCTGCACCTTTTCCAGATTACTGCCTGGTTGCTGTGCCTCTTCTTTGCGCTGGTTGGCTTTGGAATCCTGGTTCCTCTCCTGCCCCGCTGCTGGCTGCACTGGCTGCCCGCTGGCTATATCGTATCCTTTGGTCAAGAGGAGCACATGGACTGTAATAAACTCACAGTGGGATTTTTTAAAAACAGTTATTAGGTAGAATGGAAAGTGTAAGAGAAAGCAACTGAGCCAGAATCTTTTTCTGAACTATAACCATAATCTTCCATCTTCTCCTGTCTATGAAAAACGGTTATTTTGAGATCCTCTCTGCCCTTCAGCTTTAGGTAGGTCACTAATGTTCTGCTTCTCTCCTTTATCAGTCTCTGTTAAGGTTACTACCTTTGCCGCTGAGGCTCTTCTGCTGTCTACTTCTGCCAATGTGTCTCCTTTGCTTTATGTTACTCTTCTACAAGTGTGCTGCAGGGTTTGAGGGAAGTCCTACTAAAAAAGCCCCTTCTGAAACAGCCTTGCGGCGATGGGCGGCTACACCTCCCTGTGCTGACTGAATGAGTCTGGAATGGCAGCTGTCAATGTTTATGGTTATACGGCGTGGTTGCTTGTGATAGCTGGCAGTTGGTCTTCTCCCAGGGCCCTCCGTTCTCCTCTGTGAGAAATCTGTGAGAGAAATACAAGGTGGTGTAGTGTGCACTTCAGAGGAGAGGTCTGCTGTGGGACAGTCTCGAGCAGCAGTTTAACACACATCTAACTGTCTTCTAAATGTGGGCAGTATCAGAAGATGAGGTGCTTCTACTGTGAAGGCATCTTGTCTTGTGTGCTGCCCAGGAAAGCTGAACTCGGCCCAGCCTGATGCGTTTTGCACCTCCTGTCCTCAACCCACCTCCCTAGAGCTGTGCGCGCTTGCTGCTCCGGTAGCTGGGGTGGGGAGGGACTGGAGATGGGGCGTGCTGGGGAGCAATCCCAGTGCTCCCAGTGCTATCTTGTACTGTCACCTGCGCCCAGGGAACGGGTTTCCTCAAGGCCAGGCCCTGGCTCCTGGTGGACTAGATTGTCTGGGGAGTGGCAGACTGGAAGAGGGTACCCTGAGATCTGAATTTAGTACCTAACAAGCTGGTGAGGGTTTATGATTTGTGAGCAAGTGTTTGCTTTTGTCATCTCTCCAGTAACACCTTGGCGAGAATAAAATTGACTGAGCGGCTCAGTGCCACTTAGTGCTTTCTTAGCAGCACCAGGTAATCAAGAAATCTTATAGAGACACTCTTGGGAAAAGTTCTGAAGAGATGGGATGCACACATACATCATTTATACGTCTGATTTATGTCTGTTCATGGAGCCTTTGATATCTTTGGGAGGCTTTTCCTTATCATTGTTTCAGTTATACCTGTGTGATTTAGGCATTAATCTCATTAGTTCGCAGTGGTCTCAGGTCTGCTTATCTTACCCAAATCCTTGGTATTATCACGGTTCAAACCTCATGAATTTGTCTACCAAATACCTTTGTAACTCCATCTAAAGTCACTCTAATTCAACAGATCAACGTATCCCAAAGTTTTACTACCAGTTAATATAGCACTAATGTCTCTCTTGTGTCAAAGGCAGATCCCTTCCTGTTCTGCTACGCCAGTCAGCAGAGCTCCAGTCAGCTAGACCCCTCAAAGACCTCCTTTTTTTCCTTACTACACTGCTCTGTTTTCAGTAGGCCTTAGCATGATCAGCGGCGGGCACATCTGGCTGTATAACGAATGAACCGGAAGGTTAATTTTCGCATGCATGCACATTTCGTTGCAGTATGTTGAGAAGCAAACTCTCGAGCACAGTGGTGCTGCAGACGTGCAGGGTTGCTGCTTTGTGTTAGTATATTCTGACATATTTGTATATTCTTTCCAAGTGTCGGCAGTTACGTCAAGTGTGTGATCAAAAGTACTGCTAAAGCGTATTTGCTCTGACTTGCTATGGTTTTTAGAAGTAAGAATCCAAGCAGGTAATATTTCAAGGAACAATGACAAATCCTGGATACTGCCTGTAAATTGTGTAGGAGCCTACTTTGAAGGGGTGATCCTCTTGCTTGGGGTGCTGAGTAAGGAAAAGGAAAGCAAGATGATCAGTATTAGTCCCTCGATGTGACTTTTTCTTTTTCTTTCTTGGAAGTTTGGTCTTGTGAAGGGGCATGTGCACGGCCTTAACTGACCGTTCCTTTCCAAGGAGTCTGTGCATACTAAGAAACATGGACCTATGCCAGCAGTCTGCACATGGGGTCAGATTCTGGTAAGTAAAGGTAATTTTTAAAAACTCCGGTGCTGGGAAGGATGTTTCTGTGAGGCAGAGTGGTATGTAATAAGGAGGGTTATTCCTGTAGGCTTAGTTATCTTTTTCCGCTTTATTACAGCACAACTGTCTCCATTAGTAAAGCTCAGATTAATGTGCTGCAATCAGTTATACAGTGATTTCTAATTCTAAGCTGTATATTTTGCATCTTTGTGGGCTTTGTGTGTTAGGGATAAAAATAAATGCGTTAAATCACTCCTACAATCCTTAACTGTGTACTTCAGTGTCCAGGAGTGTGTTTTATCTACCATTTAGTTGTTCATCTTACTGCAGTCTCCATTGATCCTGCAGATGCAAATGTGCGTGAAAAAAACTATCTAGGGCCTCTGGCCACCTTCAGTCGTAACCAACATGCACATGTCATTGAAAATCACCATTGCCATGTCTGTGATGTAGATGTGTAAGTATCTTCTCTTTTCCTTCTGCTATTCTGTCTTCTTCACCATTATGCTTCACCGTTAGTCTTTAATGTTAGACTGTGAGATTAAAACTGAGCCCCTGAAGCTCCAAAGCACGAGTGAAACTTCCTCCTGTGGCAGGGCTCAGCTGGTTGGGTAGGTGCCCGCTGTACAATGTGCACAGTACACGTGGTTCTGGGTTTTATTTAATTGCTCATATGTTGTGTGGAGAGGACCATACCGTTCCGTGTTATCTGGATGTTGGTGTTTGACCTGATGACGTGTAACTTGTGTGTGTGTGCTGGTGTCCGGCTAGATGCTGACACGGTAGCAGGAAATGCTCGGAGGGCAGACATTCTCAGAGATTGGGCTTTGTCGAATTGCTGAAGGGTTTCAAATAAGAAATCAGTGATCTCCAAATTAGATATCACGCAGGGCATTGAAAAGGCAGATTTTGCAGTGTTTGGGATTGTAGTCCAACGATGGACGATACGGTCAGTGTGTCTGGGTATTGAAGTATTCATGATGTGGAAGATTTTCTTTTACCAGGATCTCTGCTGCTGTATTCCCCTGTATTTGTGTTACTGGAAAGTCACTGTGATGAACTCGTGCTGCTGTGCTAACATCACCCTTTCTTTGGCAGGAGTGCCAAGTCAAAGCACTGTGGAACTTGCAACAAGTGTGTGTGTGGCTTTGATCACCACTGCAAATGGCTCAACAACTGCGTGGGAGAGAGGAATTACTGGTAAGAGCCTGGCATTGTGGCAGGAGCATGACACTGCATCAGTAAGGTCAACCCTTCTCTTTCCAGGGTTCTCCTGCATCTCAGCCCGGTCTGTACTCAGCCACACAGAACCACTTTTCTGTCTGACCCCAGCTGAATAAAATCAGCCGTGAGAAAACTAGATGGAAAATGCATGCATGGTTATGACATTCAGATGACCAGGGATAAAACTCCTGGTTATGACATTCAGATAACCAGGGATAAAACTCCTACACTTAGAATTTTGTAGCTGCACATCTATGAATCAAAACAGAGAACATAATCATCTTATTTGATATTAGGAAAAGCTTATGGGATATGAATTGGGTGTCCTTAATGCTTCTGAGAGCTGGAGTGGGAATAGAACCGTGGCGGTGCTGTTCCTGTCTCTGGAACAACCTGCATCCGGGTTGCATGCCTTCCCTACGCGGCTTGTCAATTGGCAGGAGTTACAGCAGTGTATGGGCACCTCTAATCTGTGCCAGGCTTAAGATGAAGAATAAGGAGGCTGTCGCTGATTATTGCTTCTCAGTTTACTTTCCTGCACTAGAACCACGTGGAAAACAAAGGGTTGTTACAGCTGGGTGCCATGTTACACTTCTTTCCGGTTTTGTGCAGGGAGCTCTTTGTCTGTCCTAGATATACTTGCCTGTTTTGTAACCGTGGTTGCTCTAAAGGGCCCCAGTTTAGCCCATCAGGGTAACAGATCAGCAGTAAGACTGTTAACCAGTCTCTATCACAAGCGTAAGGAAGCGTCACAGGCATTTGGGATAGCTGTCTCTATCACCGTCTCTATTAGAGGCTGGGATTTTGAATCATCTGTGTGATGTTGAAGCCACTCAGACTTCTCACCTTCTTGGCAGGGTCTTCCTGAATAGCGTGCTGTCTGCCATTCTGGGCCTCGGGCTTCTGCTGCTTGTCGCGTGCTACGTCTTCGTGGAGTTCTTCGTTGACCCCATGATGCTTCGCTCTGACCGGCACTTTGATGGTACTAGCAGTGCTTCAGCTGAGCATCCTGTGAATCAGCCAGCAAATCTTGATATGGGCTTGGATTCTGTGGGCCCTCCCACTGAGGAGGAGCTCTGTTCCTTACTCCTTCGATTTTATACTTCTGCAAGCATATCTGTGCTCAGCTGGATGGAATGTCTTTCCTTCCAGAGCCAACTGCTCTTCCTAAAGGCCTTGCAGACACCGGACTTCTTAGGCCTCCAGTGCATAATGGGTCTGCAGCTACTTTTGAGTTAGCAGTATTTAGTATTAGTTAGAGATGTTTAATACCTGGACAATCTACTTACCTCCAACTCTTTTTGTTTTACAGCTCTGAGGAACCACACGGACCGCTGGTTTGTGTTTCTTCCCGCAGCTCCTGTTGAGACTCCGGCAGCTGCCGTTTTGGTCACGGTGGGGATTTTTATTCTTCTGAGTCTAATGACCGTGATCCTGCTAGGCCACCTCTTGACCTTCCACATCTATCTCAGTAGGTGTTGTGTTCCTCATCTGCTTCACCATTTCATTTTCTCTTAGCTGCTTCTGCTCAGTCTGCATTCAGTGTGCGTTCACCCGTGCCACAAATACACCCACATTGTGCGAGATTGCCACTGAAAAGGTAGAAAATTAGGGTTTGATGTTGTCCTTCTGACTTTACCCCAGTACCGGGTAGGCTTATCAGTGCATGTGCAATGTGGGGCTTGCGGTGGGCCTGTGCATTCATGTATCTAAGCTGTGTTGTCCTGGAACTGAAGGCACGTGGGAGAGCAGTAGAGAGGCCAGGTGGGATGAACTGGTTCCAGCTCAGTGCCAGCAATGGCAGATGCAGACTGGCTCCGCATACGGGCTTTTGTGAGCCTCTTCACTGTGCTCCCCAGTACTTCTGTTGCATGAGAGAGTGTGTTTCTCTGTTACCCTAGAGAAATGTGGAGAGTATTGATCTACATTTCTAATAGGAGGCCTGACGTCTGGGGCAGGGCCCCTTTATGGAAGTTGTACCATATCGACACAAAAAGACTTGTGGAATGCAGGGGAAGAGGTTTTCAGAAAGGCTTCTCATTAGATCTCCTGCTTGTTGCTCTCTCAGAAAGGGATATTTACGTTTGTTTGTGTACAGATGGGCATCAAAAACCTTTTTTCAGCCATGGTCTTAAACGAAGCAAATGCTCTTTGGCTGCCTGATGCAAGTCATGATGAGAAAAGCTCTTACACTTGCAGTAGGCAGTGGTGCCAGAACTAGGGAAGAAGAGATGTGGTGGAAGAGAAATGAGGATGACAGTTACAGAGGACCCTTGGATGGATTTTGAGGCTGTCGGTTAACAGCAATGCAGATGCCAACACAAACTAGGTCAGCACAAACCAGCACAGCTCCAGAAGCGAAACAGCTGCAGCGCTGAAGTGTAGGGTTTGATGGGTGAGTGTTCCTCAGCTGGCATTAACGTTACAGGCAGGGAGATCACTGACCGTTGTTTTGCTTTTACGTCCTCTTTGAGCTTAGCTTGAATTTGATCATGCTGTGATTTAGCTTTCTGGGTGGGATTGAAAGTTGACTTGGCTGGGTTAATGGTGATGCCTGGAGACTTCAAAGGTCGATCTAGTACTGTAGAACGACTGAAAACATAGCAAAGCTGGGGCCACTCCAGGAAGATTTCTTCTGAATGAATAAGAAAGGATTGTTCGGTTTACTACTGAGCAGTATTCAGCCTGTCTCTGTGTACAGTTTCCACAAGAGGGTGCTCCCTCCTTGAGTAAAGGCTTGCTCTCTCTTGTCAGACGGAAACGTGCAGGAGTGGCACCGGTGCTAATCCGGATTTGGGGTTTTTTTTTTTGTTGCTGTTGTGTTGGGGTGATTGTTTTCCCTCTTTCAGAATAAATTTTGAGGCAAATTAACTTTTATACCTGACCCAATTTTAAGTCTTTATGATTTACATGGAAACAGAATTCAATTATGGTTAATTTTTATTGACATTTTATTACATTAAAATCTGATACCCTGCTGAAACTGGTTCCAGTTGTGCGGAAGTGTGGTGTATAAGTCCTTGCTTAAAAGGAGCGGTGTTACCATATAGAAGCCTCTATTGTGTGTTATGTATGAGTATGGGCTACCCTTACAACGGGGATTCGGGGAGGCAGAAAAAGGACGTCTAGTTTAAATTCCTCTTATTTCACACCTGTAATTGTTAATATTCTCATCTGAATGCTTTAAGGTAGACAGTGTTGGAATGAACTGTGTAAGCCCTTGCAGGACTAGAAATACAGTTTACCAATAAAAAAAATAATTACTGTTCATGAATATTTATTCATGAACCTTTTTTTTGCCATAGTTAAATTACAGGAAGAAAATAGCACCCCTCTTAGTAGTCTTGCCTTTAAGTTTCACGTATAAAAGACTGTCTTTAATCATGTATGACTATAAAACTTTAGAATCTAGCTGTGTTACAAGAACAGTGAAATTTTTAGAATTACTGTCCTGATTTTAATTACTCACTGCCATCACTCAGAAGGAAGGAGGTAGGTTATTCTCAAAATAGTAGGTCTGTGTATTCAAAATTACCCGTCTTGACTGAGACTCAGTTCTAGCGACGTTCAGTGAAGCATGACACTTCTGGGTTTGGAGGGAGGACATTTTTTTCTCTTCAATACTGAGAGGCCAATAGTAAGCAGAACAAAAAGAAAAAAACAGTAGGGAATGTAGGAAGGGAGCACAGGAAAGGATGTGGGGCTCTGCACAAGCTATGGTTGTATGTTTCACAGTATGTGCTGCAGTCTTATCTGGCCAGACAAATGCAGTATTTTTTAACCAAATAGCTCTATTAAAATATTTTAAAAGTTGCGCTGTGAAGTATTCAGAAACCAATGCACTCTAAATTAAAAATGGTTTATAGCACTTTGTTTATGAAGCCATAGTCTGTTTCTCAAATAAAGCATATGGTACCATTCTAGGAGCAGTTGCCAGGACCTGCGCTGTCCCTGTTACGTGCACTCACTAATCGCTTGGCTGCAGACTCGCATTCATTTTTATGCTCTGTCTTCCTGGCCAAATGGGTCTTGAATTCTTATTTCTTCATAAGGTCATTGCTTTAACAGGAGGGACACCTTCTCCTCCGATCTTCTGCACTTCCCTGTGAAGTAGTCCTGTGTTTAGGTTCTGGTTTTGAGGGGGTAAGTTATCACCGATACAAATGTCTTCAGGCGGAGGAAGGATTTTGGTCTGGATATCCCGTATCGTGGCTGTCTGCTTCAAGTACTATGCTACTGTAAAGAGGAAGAACGACTACCAGGCTGTCCACCGAAAACCTTCAGCATCCATTTCTGGGTTTTGTGCTCTAAAAATATTTACCGTAACAGGGTCGTTATGGTAGGAATGTCTGAGTTTTGGGTCCTCATAACATATTGGGTCTCGTGAAGAAACCAAGCTGCTCAGAAACGTCACATGCGTTTGGTCACTCGTAGAAGCAGATGTGTTTGTGTGTGTACGTCCTGAAGAGCACATAAACTCAGGCACATGTAAACTCTGAACATGTCTATTTGGCACCAGGCAAGGTGGGCATTTGATGCTCACTGTTTTGGACATGAAGTGTCTCAATCTCCTCTGTGGGACACACTAACATGCTGAATTTCTTTTCTCCATTTAGCATCACACACCTTCTGACTACTCACTGAGCTTTCTGTACGATGCAGATCTGTCCCTTACTGGGTATGAATAATAGATTTGCTCTGAAATTAGCTGAACAAATTACTGCAGTGTAGGAGGCTGTACCGTGTATGTGAGGCTTCAGAAGAATAGTGGGACTATGAGAAAGTGTGATGATGGCAATAAAGAATATAGTAAGATGCACGGTGCAAAGGTACTTTTGGCTTAAGAGTATCAGTCTCTTCGTGTTTATAATCACTATTTGGTTGTATAGTTATTTAGACTGTTTGTATAAGTCTAATAGGTGGTGGCCTTTCCCGTGCTGACAGCTGTCTTTCTTTCCTCCCAGTGTGGAACAAGCTGACTACGTACGAGTACATCGTGCAGCAGCGTCCCCAGCAAGAGGCGAAAGAGGTAGACAAGCAACTGGAGTCTTGTCCCTCCCAGGTGAGACCCAGTCAGGTACTCGCTGAACTTTCAGTCCATTCTCAAAAACAGCCTTGCTTGTCCGCAGTGTAAAGTTTGCTTCACTTCTGCAAGCTTCAAATTTTAGAGGCGGTTGCTAAAGATAAGACTTGAGAGGTACTTTGGTGGAGTTGGGTAGGATGTGAGAGCGTGTAAAGCCTGTAATCTGGTGAACACTTCGGGCAGAAGGGAGTACTGCTTTCAAAGGAATCAGTCCCACCCACTCTGTTCCTCCACCACTTGTTTTGAGCCCTGCACTATCTATTCTCTTTGGCCAGTGCAGCTGTTCGTTACAGTCATGCAGTGAACAGAATCACAGAATCACAGAATCACAGAATAGTAGGGGTTGGAAGGGACCTCTGTGGGTCATCTAGTCCAACCCCCCTGCCGAAGC